TCTGAATATCCACACTATCCACGTCTCTCATAATTTTATATATACTTCTATCAAGTCACCCCTCGGCCTCCGATGCTCTAGCCAAAACAATCCATGTTTGTCCAAGCTCACTTTAAAGCTGACCAGTTAAAAATCACAGCATAGAGCAGCTGGTGCAGTAAAGATAAACTGGTTTCCTCCAGGTTTACAGTGAATTTTGACTGCAGAGAATAGAGAGACCGCTCGTGAGCTGGGGAAAAGCCGAATCTGTCACGCTGTCACACTCACTCTAACTTGTTCCCAACTCCAGGCAGCTCAGTTACCTGAGAACAAATCACACAGTTGTTGGCAGGCAAAAAAGGTGTCTGTAATCAGTAACTGCTCACGAATTAATAGATTAATCAGCTTCTTGTTGCCAACAAAGCTGCATCAGTAACTCCCTTGGCTCCAAAACAACTCAAATTTAAATTAGTACTTGGCACAACAGTTGTATACATGATGCTTGTCGTGGATGTTGGCTTACTTACTTTACAAACCTGTAACCACCCTTTCAAGTACTGGTTTTTGAACAATTCTTGCTCATTTCAGTCAACAGTTTCTAAAAATAAAAATATTTTTAAAATCTGGTTCTTGCATAAGGAGTTCTAGGATTTTTTTCTGAGTCATGATGAAGGAATTACAATACATTTCCGAGTCAGGATGGTGTGTGACTTAGAGCTGAGCTTGCAGGTGCTGGTTGTAACTGTTTACCTCTGACCTTCTGGTTGGTAGAGGTCGCACATTTGGGATTTGCTACCAAAAAAGCTTTGGAAAGTTGTTAGAATGCACCATGTAGATCATGCACACTGCAGCCTTGGTGCACTGGTAGTGGACCCTGTGAATGTTTAAGATGTTGGAGGAAGGTATACCTGTCAAATAGGCTGCTTTGTCCTGTAGGTTGTCATGCTTTTTGAGTACTAGTAAAACTTCACTCATCCAGCAAAGTGCATATTATTGCATTACACCCCTGTATAGTGCCCAGTAGATAGTCAGTAGGCTTTAGAGAGAGAGAAATGAGTCACTTATTGTCAAATATTCAACTCTTATGTGGCTGGTCCAGTTACATTTCTGGTCATTGTTGGCCTTCAGGATATTGATCCTGACTGATTCAGTGATGGTAAGGCCATTAAATGTCAAAAAGAAGTGTTAGTCACTCTATTGAAAGACACTAATTTTGTTTGAATAAAATTCTTATAGGGCTTGACAGGGCAAATGCAGGAAGGATCTTTCCCTGACTTGGAATCCAGAACTAGAGGACAAAATCTCCTGAATAAGGGTAGGTCATTAAGGACTGGATGATTTTTACTGAGGGTGAATCCTCAGAGAAGTGGTGAATTTTTGAATTCTGTGCCTGGGATGACTGTGGAGCCCCACTCATTGTGTTTTCAAGATGAAGATCAATATATTTCTCTTTACCTAATCCATAAAGGGATATGGAAGTTGTGTCAGAAAATAGTGTTGAGATAGAGGATCGACCATGATCTAGTTGAATGCAGAGTAGTCTTGAGAGCTAACTGTCTATTCCTGCTCCTATTTCCTAAGTTTCTATGCTGCCAATGCATGTTATTGAGATCTTGCTGCATGCTGCCCCAGATTAATTTTGGTACCTGAAGAGTTGACGAGGGAACTGGATGATTAATATGCAATTATCAGTGAAGATCTCATTTCAGAAAGCATGTAATTGACACAACAGCTAAAGAGTCTTGGACTGACTCACTGTCCTGAGGAACTCTTGATGCACTTGCAGCAACCAAAATCTTTGCCCTTTATGCTAGTCATGAATTCAGCTGGTGGAAAGTTGGTCCCTCTACCCCACTGATTCCCAGTGACTTTAATTTTACAGGGGCTCTTTTGATGTCAAGGGAAGACACTCTCTTGCCTCACCGGTGTCTTTTTGTTTCCCCTTGTTTGTTCCAAGGCTTCAGGAAATCTGGAAACCAGACTGCACGTTATGAAGCAGGTTGTTGATAACTAAGTGCCAGCTGACAGCATTTTCAGTGATACTTCCATCACTTTGCTAATGATTAAGAATAACCTGATGCATTGTTAATTTCTGGATCAGATTTGTCCTGTTTTTTTGTGGACAGGACGTATTTGGGTAATTTTGATCTTTGGTTGGTAGATGTCAGTGTTGTAGCATTAGTGGTTCAGCATTGCCAGTGGTGTAGTTAGTCTGAGAGAATAATTTTTCAGCTGAGTTGGGATGTTGTTGTAAGTCATAGACTGCTGCAATTGTTGTAATGATCTGTTGATTGAACCAGTTAGATGAGCACAATTTGCTCTTAATTCCATGCTGGCTGTCATTGTATTAGTCCATATCCATCTCTGTAATTGCTGTTTCTTAAAAAACCTTTCTATTGCTGACGTTGAATTGGCTAGTGTGTAACTGCCAAGTTTATTCTTTTCTCCTATTTTGAACATGGTTGTAACATTTACAATTCACCCCCATTCCTATACCACTATCCCTGAATCTGAAGAGATTTTGAAAATTGTGACGAGCCCTTTCCTAATTTATGCTGGTTACCTCTCAGCAATCCAAAAGTACATCTCATTTGGCCCAAATGATGTAGCCATTTCAAATACCATCAGCCTTTCTGCTATCTATTCTTGATACAGTTTATCTTGTCCAGTATTCTGACAATCTTCTTGCTGACTCGAGCTATTCACTTACTAGGTAAGCTATCCTTTCTGCCTACATCAGTTGATCTTCATATTAACGCTGTTGTCTCTACTTCTTCTCTGATAGTCTTTTACTAATAAAATACCTGTGGAAGTACAGCATAACCTTACATTTCATTGTTAGCTGCCAAGTTATTCTCATACTGTCTCTTTGCCCTTTATTTCCCTTTTTTTCCTCTAAGTTTTGTGTTAAACCTGTTTCTCCCTTCTTATCAAGCTGACCTCTGTTGTTTCTTTTCTGCTTTATCCTGCACACTAACCACTTCAGGTAGCTTTAGCTAATGAAGTCTTTTTACCCTTTGTGGAAATGTATGAATATTATACTTAATTGACCAAATGACCACTGCCAGTCCTGTTATGACTGTCCAATAGAGAGGAAAAAAGAACAAAAAAGGATTATACGTTGCCAGTCGTGACTTTGGGAAAATATATCATCATATGAAGTCATGAGTACCGTTTCAGGTTGGGTAGAATGTCTGGCAGGCCCAAACGACTCTTCTCCTTCCTCTTCCTGTTGACACAGTGCCTCACATCTTTACATCTACATGAACTAGTCAAGTGTGTGTGAACAAGTTTGTCATTGTTCCATTTTCAACAGTTCCCCTCCATTGCCAAATTGCACTGAAGTCTTTCCAATTATTGTACTTTTATACCTTTCTCTCAGGGTTTAACTTGATAGACCTTATTGTCCTTTGAAGTAGCTAATACAATGTGAAGTTCTTTCTGTGAATCACTGAGTAAATGTATTCATTTGCTGGGAGATCATGGAGCTTTCAAAATTACCTGCTATTGTTTGTACATCATCTTTCCCTTATCATTCTATGTTGTTCCCAGCAATTAGTTCCATAACTGTCTTGAAATATTCCATCTTCAGCCTCAAAACCCTGTTATAGACGCTTCATTATTCTTGTTGTCGGGTGTTTATTCGCAGAGTTGTTCCATAAAGATTTTCCAGTTGAACAAGTTCTAATTCCTTGTTGGACGGTTGAGCCATGGAGTTATTTATTAGAATAATTTCTATTCTGTTTCCATGTCCCATTAACTTTCACAATTTAGCAACATTTTTAATTGAAAAGGTTAACCAAAAATCCTAAGGTGGTTTTTTAAGTTTATTTGTTTCAAGTATTTATCCAGTTGTTATCCTGCAATTGCACATGCTGCATCTGATGTTGGTCCCTTTTTGGGTGAGCTGCACCTGCCATCACCTTAGAATAATCGTTCCAGTAAAGAAGTCATTCTACTAGGTTTGTTTCCAGAGTAATTAAACTTTAAGCAGTTTCCAGTACAACAAACTTGCAGTAACAGCATATTCCTCTAACTATTTCAAGCTAACTCTGAAAGATTGACTGTTGTTGAACTTAAGTTAGAAACATGGAGGTACATACCAAAACATACATTGGATTTTTCAAATTCATTAGTGGGATGTGGGCATTACTGGCTAGGCCAGTATTTGTTGCCTGCCCCTTATCCTGGAAAAAGTGATGATTAGCTGTTGTTTTGAACTGCTGTGAAGGGGCATCCATGTAGCTGTTGGGGAGGGTATTCCAGTTTTTGACCCAGTGACACTGAAAGAATGGCAATGTATTTGTAAGTTAGGGTGGAGCTTGCAGATGATGATCTTGCATATCTGTTGCCCTTGGCATTTAGATGCTAGAGATTGTAGGTATGGAAGGTATGTCTAATGGCTTTGCTGAGTTGTTGCAGTGTACTCTCTCTAGATGAGACGCATTGCTGTAAGTGTGTTGATGGTGAAGGGAGAGAATGTTGAAGGTCTGAGATGGGGCATGCAGATAGTGTTGAGTGCTTGTGTTGGTACTACATTCATCCAAGTGGGTGCAGAGTATTCCATCACACATCTGACTCATGCCTTGGACCGGCTTTGGAGAGTCGAGCCACGAGTCTTTCACATCAAACTTGCTAATCTCTGACAGGGTCTTGTAGCCATGGTATTTGTATGGATGGTCCTGTTCAATTTCTGATCCATGCTAACATCCAGGATGTTAAAAATGAAGCATTCAGTGATAGGAATGTCCTAGAATACCAAGAGGCCATCATTGGAGATGATCATTTCCAGGCAGTTGTGTGATGCAAATACTAATTATCATTCCAAGCTGGTGAAGTCGTAGTCATTCATTTTAACGACTGAAATATTGTGGACCATGCATCAGTGATTTCATGCAAAGTGCACCTGTCAAATAGTTATAATATGTAAACTACGGCTTGAAGTTCCACTACTCTATCTTTCCTCCACTTTTTGTTCCTTCTACATATATCTATGCACATATTGTGTCTTATCTTTACAGCGTAAAAAGGTGGTGAACCTTAACGTTCAGATGCTGGACTTGAATAATAGTTTTCTGCTGGGCACTCAATTACCCAACAAGATTGACCGAAGTGCTATTCCAGAACACATTCAGCACTACTTCTCCATACAAAAGGATTACATTCATGTTAACAGTCTTCATGCAGATGCTCCTGATGACTTGGTAAGTTTAATGTTTTGGTCATTGTTTGGAGTGAATTCTTCCCTTTTTGTACATGTGCAGTGTATAGATCACCTTCATATTTAGTACTTAATTCCACTCATTCAGTGTGATCCAGTTTTGAAGCGCTTACACAAACATAGTCTTATTAAGGTTTTGCATTTATGGTGCAAGATATTTTAATTTGTATGTATAAAAGCATCACATGGAGGGCAAGGAAAGCCACATACTCGATTACTGCTGGATTATAGTCATGGTTTAACTGTTTGTTTACTTTGTTGGAACAAAATAGGACATATTTGATATTTTTAAACAAAACAGGTAAGTTGCCTGTGGACCTGTCCCAAGTTATGAATTCTTGGATATTGAAAGAGCTCCATGATGAGCAGCAGAAAAATTCAACCAGGGCCAGACTGTCATGATGCCCACCTACTGCTCAAGAGATAATACTGCTAAATTGTGAGTTGAACTGAATAGCAGAAAGACTGAGGTTCCAGGTTGGGAGAGTTGTTTGCACATAGCTTTGAACCCACATAGCCAGGTGTAGGAAAATGGGCAGCACATAATTAATAACTAAATATAATTAGTTTTGGATCTGGATAATTTTCTTCTGTTAGATTTGATTCCATCAGCATAAAATACAGGCATGATTAAATTCAGCTTATCGCAAACTGTAGAATAAAATGTGTAATGTTAGCTACGTTTTAAGTCATGTCATGAAAACAGACGTCATAGCAGGATTAATCTAACCCTCTAACACTGATTTCATTGGCAGTATTTGCTATTGGTTTTGCAAATTGACACTTGACCTAACTTCAGACATATGCCTAAACTGTAAAATAGCCATTTTTGTTGCGTATTCATCGCTTAAAGTGACTGAAGAACCCGTCGTCAAAACTGTCTGCAACTATGGTGCACCCAATCATTTCAGTGTTATACAATTTCTTTGTATTTTGTGCCAATGGTGATTATTTTTATTCTGTATTTAATTTCAGAATAAAATTATCCATTCATTGCTCAGAAGCATTAAATTTCAGGCTTAAGGGTGTGTTCCAACTTTTTTAAAATCAAAAATAATGGTTTAAACAGTCAAGAAGTCAATGGAAACTTATCAAGATCAAGATTAAGTTAAAATATTGTTACCAAAGATGATGATGCACCCAAGCCCCCATAAGAAAGTTTGTGTTTCTGTGATGATCTAAACTCAATGTCACATTAGAGAGTGAAGAAACCATGATGTTGTGAGACACTAAACTTAGCCACATGGTTTATCTGACAAGGTTTAGCAAGAGTTTCCCAGTGAAGTTGGAATGTTGGGTGCTATGGCTATCATTTTGAGTGAAAGTGGCTGCAGCCAGGATTGAAAGCAGGCAAAGAGCATGAATAAGACAATACAGCCCAGGGTTGGGAGAGGGAACAGGGGTGTTAGTGAGAAGAAGTGGTCCGGACTGATATATCTGGGTAAAGAGAGAATAAGAATCTAAATAAAAACCAAAAGAACTGCGGATGCTGTAAATCAGGAACAAAAACAAAATTGCTGGAAAAGCTCAGCAGGTCTGGCAGCATCTGTGAAGGCGAAAACAGAGTTAACGCTTCGAGTCCGGTGACCCTTCCTCAGAACCCAGTTCAGAACCTTTTGAGCTTTTCTAGCAACTTTTTTTTTGTGTTGAACAAGAATCTAAAGGTCTGTCTTGGAAGCATGCTGATGGAAAGTTTCATTTTAAAGTAGAATAAGGCACTATGATGAGCCAATAGGAAGGACAGTTAAAATTAGTGACTTAAATTCTTTTTTAACAAACATAAGATACAGTAAGAATAGACCATATTACCTGTAAGGCTTGCTCTGTTATTCAACGTAACCATGGCTGATCATCTGTTTCAACAAATCTTCCCACTCCCTACATCCTTGATTACCTGAGAAATCGAAAATCAATCCATCTTAAGTGTATTCACTGGGGTAGAGAAGTAGGGTAAAGAAGCCCAAAGATTTACAATTCTGAGTGAAGAAATTTCTCTTCACCATAGGCTTGAATGATCGGGTCCTTATTCCGAGACCCTGCCCCCTTGTTCTAAGCTCTGCAGCTAAGGAAAACAATCGGTCTCTCTGCCCTGTCAGTCTTCTTTGGAATCTTATACTTCAGTGAGGTCTCATTCTTCTAAATTCCAGTGAATATATACCCAGTTTATTCAGTCTCTCATCATTGGACAACCCAGGAACCAATCGACTGAGCCTTTGCTGCATTGCTTCCAATGCAATTATATCCTTCCTTAAATATGGAATCCAAAACTGCACACTGCTCCAAATACGGTCTCAACAAAATCCTGCACAATAGTAGCTTGACTTGCTTATTCTTGTACCCTAATCTCCTTTTCCTTTGCAACAAACAGTAAGATGCCATTTGCCTTCCTGGTGTACCTGCATGCAAACTTTGTGTTTCTTAGACCCAAATCTATGAACGCCAACATCTTAAAGCTCACAGATTTTAAAAAAAATTCTGCTTATTTGTTCTCAATATCAAAGTGAATAACCTTTTACTTCATCAATTACTCCATGTTTAATTTTAAAGTAGAATAAGGCTGTTCATTTGCTTAACTTTCCTACGTTTAAGCTGTTTTGTGATCTCATAGTTTACAATCTCGAGTCTTATCATTAGCAAATTTAGATACATTACTTTCAGTCTCTTTGTCTTGGTCATTACAATAGGCTGTAAATAACTGAGGCTCAGCACTGATCCTTATGGCACTTCAATAGTCACAGCCTGTCAATTTGAATATTCTCTGTTTATCTCTATTCTTATTTCATATCTGTTAAAAGATTCATTCTTGCTAATATATTACCCCTGCCCCAGCTCCATGAGCCCTAACTTAAAGACTCATCTGGGAGTTAGGTAAGCTGAAGATATTTAATTAAGTCTCTGAAACTTAATAAATTGCTTTGCAGAGCTGACTAGTGGTCAAACCTGTTCCTGCAAGCTATTCAACATAATCCCAGTTGATGGCAATGCTAGACACATCAGATTGTAGAGTGAGGCCTGGTTTGATAGACCATCATTTTTTATGAATAATTCACAGAGGCTGCTAATATGGGTTTTTTAAAAAAAACTTAAATGATTATTCCACACAAAAGAAAGACATGAACCATGTTACACTATATAATAACCATTTGAAATTGTTCTATGACAAATGTCAGAAACAAAGATTTGATTCTTTTACCCCCACAGCAACTTCACAGCACACAGATCTCATTAAAGTGTCACCCCTGTCTCTATGCTAAAGCTCCTTGTTTAGTTGGAACAACTGTAATTGGTTTCTCTTCAGAAGATTCCTGCATTAACCCAGTGCTATTTTCTTCAATTAATATCTCATCCTGAGATCATTAAACAAGCTGAAAACTTGGCTCCCTTACTACTGGACATGATTCGGATCCCAGGATTATGCTGGTAAATCTCCTATTGGTCCCCTCCAAAGCTAGCACATCCTTTCTTCGATATGGAGTCCACAATTGCTCTCAATATTCCAAATGTAGTCAAATCAGGGTCTTATCCAGCCTGAGCAGTACATCTCTGCTCTTGTATTCTAGCCCTCTTGAAATGAATGCTAACATTGCGCTTGAATTGCTAACCACTGTTGTCCTTCTAGATGGAAGTAGTTTTGGGATTGGAAGGTGCTGTTTAAGGATCTTTGGTGAATTTCTGCGGTGCATCTTGTTAACAGCACACACTTCAGCTGCTGAGCGCCAGTGGTGGAAGGAATGGATGCTTGTAGACGGGTGCCAATCAAGTGGGCTGTTTTGTCCTGTACAGTGTCAAGCCACTTGTGTTGTTGGAGCGTCACTCATCAGATAAAGGGAACCATTCCATCACACTCCTGACTTGTGCCTTGTAGTTGGAGACAGACTTTGGGCAGTCAGGGGGTGTGTTGCTTGCTGCAGAATGTCTAGCCTTTGACCTGCTCCTGTGGCTGTAGTATTTATGTGACTAGTCCAGTTCAGTTTACAGTCAGTGATGACCCACAGGACGTTGAAAGTAAGGTTTTTCGTGATGGCAATGCCATTGAATGTCAAGAGATGATTCTCTTGGACTCTGTTTTGTTGGAGATTGTCATTGCCCTGCATTTATGTTGTATGAATGTTACTTATCACTTGTCAATCCAAACTAAGATACTGTCCAGGTCTCGCTGCATTATGCTGCAGGAGATCTGCCTGTATTTAAAATTATATAATGTTCTACAGTGGTTCTTGAATTGTTGTTCCATAAAGGTAGCCTGAGGATAGTCCAAAATAGACAGCACCTGATGTGCGTTGCTACCACCAAGGGCAAGTCATAGAACAATCCAGAGCCCACATCTCTATACTCATCACTTCCCACAATCCAGATCAGATCACGTGTGTACAGTGCAAGTTGAAAGCGCACACAGCAGCGATGTGGCTTTATAAGCAACAAATCTATTTTAAACTGTTACAGCATAACTACATGATTAAATGGTTATCAACATTTGTGGGACTGAAAACAGAGGAGGAATCAGCTAAACATGGAGCCCAACATGAGATTGAGGCTATCTAATTTGAAATCAACATCATCTCATTGGTGTTTCATCAAAAGCAGTGTCATTCTTTATTCACCTATTACTTATTAATTC